CTCACTGGAGAGACTGACGATGTCGTGGACCAATATCCAGAGTTGACCAAAAAGTCATTACATGTGCAGTTAGACATGTTCATTTTAAAATACACCTACAATTGCAGCATTGAAACTGCAAAATTCTTGAGAGATATGCTGCCCGAGATCCCTGTCCTTTTTTGATCAGGTTGAGGGCTTTATGAGTTTCTGTTAGATGTCTCTGCCTCTTCTGCTGAAGCTGAGAGGAGCCTCAGTGATCCTAGAAGGCTTAAGAATTGGCTTTGTAATTCTGCAAAACAAAGTCACATGAACAATGTAGCTGTTTGTCACATTTATCAAGAATAACTTGATCACTTGAAAAGGAAAACATTCTGTCAGCAACTTATTGCTGCAAATGACCAGCACAGGAATATTTCCTTTTTTTAGAAAAAACAAGGGAGTTCTTATTATCTATTGGTTGGCAAGGACAGTAGGTTGAGCTATTGTGAAAGAAAAAGAAAGGCTTTGTCAGAATTGCATTGTAATATGTTTTCTTTTCAAGGCAAGTACATTTATGGTTTTCAGTTGTTGTTTTTTTTCCATGATGATTATGGTTATTTTGTTTGAATACTAAAACAGGAATTTTCATAACAAGGGGGACCCAGGTGGGACAGCAGTAAGTCTACAGATTCACAACACTAATATCTGGGATTCCATTCCCCATGGTGAACACAGCAAATAGCTCAATGTGGCTTTGCTCTAAAACAAACAAAGCAAGGGGACCATTCTTGATATTTCCATACCGTGCAAATACAGGTCACAAAATTAATATTTGTATAAGTTGTAGGAAGTAAGAAATTATAGTACATAGAAATTTCACCTGCTGCAACAGCCTAAGATATATATACCATAACAGAGAAGTGCAAATAATATATTAAACTTACTTTACCAAATGCTTATTCTCATTCAAAGACTAACAGTAACATTCATTCCTGCTTTTTTTTTCAAAGGCATTTTAACTGGATACATTTTCAACTCAAGTTCATACTGGATTATTAAATCAGCAATTTGATTTATTTTTTTTACTCAAGTTCCCCTAAGTGTTACGGATGTAAGTGTATTACTGTTTCGTAAGTTGTATTGGTGCTTAAATATTGTGCAAAGTGTAACATGGCAAACAGGTTCAGTTGATTTATATGCAATTAGATTTTTTTAAAGTTTTAAAAGATTGAAAATGTTGGTATAACTGCTATTCAGTGAATGTTGTGTATTAATATAAGATAAAAAGGAAAAGTAATTAACAGAGGAAGAACCCCTTTATTTATTTTGTTTTTTTATAGAGAATACCTTCTTTTATACCCCAGTTTCACAGAATGTACCCCACTTTTGAACCAAAATTTTTGCCCCTGCTTATCATTAATAAATAGCTTTAACATATAAACATGGCAATAAGTGAGTTATAACTGTATGGATTTGTCTTTACTTTTTTTTGCAAGACCCATCATATTTCTATCTGCTGTGTGGATTATTTTAAAGGTTTCTTGTTCATGGCTAACCAGTTTTATTTTAAAGGTTTCTTGTTCATGGCTAACCAGTTTTATTTTAAAGGTTTCTTGTTCATGGCTAACCAGTTTTATTTTAAAGGTTTCTTGTT